TGTGTTTTGTTTGTTTCGTTAAAACTGTTCTACGGCTTTTGGGGAAATGTGTGTCCAAGGGGATGGTATGGGAAATTTTTGGAGTGCAAGATGAAGTTTTTAGTTCTGTTATGGGGTTTTGGTCTCATTACAGTTGAAGGTCTTTTCATGGGCATTTTGTAAATTTTTTGTTTTTTTTTTTGTTTTTGAGTCTTGTCGAGAGAAAGTGCTGTTTTTTTTCCTTCTTTCATCACTAGCCGGTAATTCTTTCTTTAGTTCTGGTAAAATGTTTAAAAATATAGACTTGTAGGGGAAATTAATAGTACCAGCAAATGTGAGCGATTTGGTTGTCTTTGCCTTTCTCTTGTTGTGACTTTTAGCTTTATAGCTTCTTTTTATCCTGTTAAAGTTGAATTTTTCCATTACATACCGTAAATGTTATGAGACTAAGTTTGTCTGGGTATCATTTTACAGGTTATGGTTCTGGAAGTTTGAATGTAGGCATGCATGGGGATTTTCATGGGGTTAAAGGACCATTCACTCCTTCTCAGTGGATTGAACTAGAACACCAGGCCTGGATCTACAAGTACATCAGTGCAAATGTGCCTGTACCACCCAATTTGCTCATCCCCATCAGAAAGTCCGTCCAACCATTGGGCATGCCTTACTCATCTACTGGATCCTTTTCTCCCAGTTCATGTAAGCTTCTTCTCTTTGAAATGCTCTATACTCTGTGTTGTTAGTGTTCCCAGTTCCTGTAAGCTTCTTTTGTTTGAAATGCTGTATAGTTTGTGTTGTTAATATTATTTTTGAGTTCCTTATTTTTTTTTTTTAGAAAATTATGTTCAGTGAGAGTGATGGTGTTTTGGTTTGTGCACTTCCGTTAAGTTTTTAGAGTCATTCTGTTGCAATTGACAGGAGATTTGGAATTTGCAGTTATGAATTTTGATTTTTGCAGAAATCATAAAGTTTTCTGTTAATCTTTGTTTGAAAGTTTTATTGTATAAAGCCAGGATGTAATTTGGCTATAAGGTAACACTGTGCTTGATAAAATTCATCTTCTTTCCTTTCTTCCTTTTGGTTGGTTGGTTGGTTTTTTTGTTTCTTTTCTGCTTTTATTTATTTATATATTTGTAAATTTGTACAGATGGATGGGGGTCTTTCCATCTAGGCTATGCTACCAGCACTGATCCTGAGCCAGGTAGGTGTAGGCGAACGGATGGAAAGAAATGGCGGTGCTCAAGGGATGCTGTTGCTGACCAAAAGTATTGTGAAAGGCACATAAACAGGGGCCGCCATCGTTCAAGAAAGCCTGTGGAAGGCCAGACCGGCCATGCAGCCTCTGGGACCACTAATTTGAAGGTGGTGCCAATGACTTCTTCCGTGTCAACATCTGTGATAACCAGTGATGGTGCATCCAACAGTCTAGCCATCACCCAGCACCAGTTCAAAAACTTACAACCTGGTGCCGCCAAACCTTCTGTGGATGCCCTTGTCAGCAGGTGAAGAATACGCTTTTAGAATTTGAGTTTTTTATCTGTTTATCATTTTATGCTTTGATTGTTAAAGGTGATGCTGCACTTAATGGTTTGCATACTTATACTCTCTTTTACCTTTTCCTTTATTATAAAGGAGATCCAATTATTTCTTTCTACTTTGGTGACAGAAACTACTCCTAATGGTTAAGACTTAGGATTCCATGATATATTTGTAATTGTTCTGTTTCAGAGTAATTCTGATATTTGGATAAAGAAATTATGAAAACTACATAATTATAAAATTCTAGAGTTTTAACGTTTTTCTTATCTTTTGCTTTTTAATCTTCCCTTATTCCCTTCTAGGGATCTTTCTACCATTTATTTCTAAGCAAAGTGAATTTGTGTGGCAGAGTGCAAGGTTCAAAGAGTGGCTCCATGATGTCTTCCACCACCAACCTGAAATCTAATGAATCTACTTTCCCTGTTCCGAAACAAGATATTCCATTTGAAGAATCCTCTCAATCTGTGTTTGGATTTCTTTGCTCTGACTCCCTCCTTAATCCTTCTCAGAGGAGCTCGTATTCGAATTCCAAAAACTATAGTGGGTCTTTCCTAGACTTTAATGACCATGAAACCCAAGATCAAAATCCTCTTCGGAAATTCATGGATGACTGGCCCAAGGATGAGTCTAATCGTTCCATACTTACTTGGCCTGAAGAGCTTAAATCAGATTGGACCCAACTATCAATGTCAATTCCTATAGCTCCAGAATTCTCATCATCATCCTCTCCCAATCGTGAGAAACTGACTCTATCACCGCTTAGGTTATCTCGTGAGTTTGATTCTAGCCAAGTGGGTTTGGGGTTAAGCAATGATCTCAGTGAGCCAACCCAAAAGCTAACAAACTGGATACCGAAGTCTTGGGGAACTTCGATGGGTGGTCCTTTAGGTGAGGCCTTAACCAATACCACTAACAATGTGGGTACCTGCAAGAGTTCATCTCTTAACCTGGGAACTGAAGGGTGGGACAGCAGCCAACAGTTGGGAACTTCTCCGACAGGTGTCTTGCAAAAGTCAACTTTCTGTTCACTTTCAAATAGTAGTTCAGGGAGCAGTTCAATGGCTGATAACAAAAAGACACATGATGGAGTTAGCATCGGCGATGGCTCAACCCTTCTAAGTTCCTCCATTCCATCTCTGTAATCAGCAAGTGACTTGAGCAAGAAAGACAGAAGTAGCTGGATCCGAGTGGAGAGCTTTGCAGCAACTATGTTTATCTGATTGGTTTCTATGATTTGTTCTTCCTTCAGCATGTAGTTTTTAAAATTTACTAAGTACTGACTTTGGGCTAATCACATTGTTAGGTATTAGCCATTTAAACTCATGAACCTATTGGGTCTCTATAGTTTATGAATTGAAGTAATTTATGATATGTTGAAGTTGTTCCATACTTTTTTGTTGGTAGCCAAACATTTGGTTGTTGGAAGGGCAGCTTCTCTTCGCATGATAGAGCTGTAAAATATCTGTTGATTTGTGCAGGCTAGACCCCAAAATAGTGGGGTAACATTCATCATCTCAAATATAATATGTAACTTCCAAAATACATATTGATTATTGAGGCTCAGCTGGGTGACCTGGACCATAATGTTGATATATCTCTCTCCAATCTTTTTCCAGTTGGTGGGTTGCTTCCCAGATATCAACATTATTGAATTTGTATTAATCTATTTGGTAGATTGGATGGAGATTCCTGGACTCCAGGCAGGAGGCACTCTTGTGGCTTGCCTACCCGGCTGAGCACTCGACTGCGCCCTTCAGTTTGTCTATTACCCTCGAGGCTCAAGAATGGCCCAGCCACTGACACTATTGCACCATTATGAACTTGGCTTGACCTTTAGTCATCACGTTTCTCAATTCTGGGACCTATTCTCAATTGCAAATTGGACCCATAGAATATTAAGTAAAATGAAACTAGTACTGGTTGAACTATTTATCTCATGATGGTTCACAGTTTACTCATGAATATTTGTCATCTTAACTTGTTTTTCATTGCTTGTTTGTTCTGCAAAAGAAGCAGGATTACAAATTCTACAGACCTGCATAAAGTTGACAGATAAGCATGCCCATCACTGAATTATTGAAGTGATTTCTCAGAGATAAAGTTGAAATGTAAGAATAAATTGTACATTTGGGCATTATATGATCATAATGATTAGAATAGTGCAAAATGGGATAATAGAATCGTTGAAACATGTTCTACAATGTAGAGACTTTTACAAACATGATATGTAGTCTCAAAATGGGCAGCAAGATTTAGTGGTATGAATTGTTGATATCTCAATCAGAGAGAAACAGTGGGTGAGGATTCTTGCTCTTTTCCAACAAAGACTTCTGGTCCCAACTTGCAATTCTTAATCATGAGAAAGAACCCACCCGTCCCTTTCTGTGTTGGGGTAATGGTAACCTGGAGGGGATGAGTCAGAGATCAGTAAACGATTTTTCTGATAGGAGATAATGGTCTCAAATTGTCAATGATGATAGCAATAGTTGAGCCTGAATGGCAGCTGATTCATTGTCTATACAAGCTGTGCCATTTCCTATGTGGGAAAGTATCCAATTTATGGCAAGATTAATCAACTGTACCAGGTATCTAATATTGATCTTGACAGTTGACACATTATCGACTTGTTCCCCATTACTAATTTAGTGAGCAAGCCATATACTACCACATAAAAAAAGCTCAAAGTAGAAAGAAAAACTGAGTTTAGGACCACAACCACGAGGAGAAACCAATTTAAATCGACTCCAAAATTCCATTTTGTAAGCTATGATTCTTTTAGGACTAGTACTATTCAGCTTAAGCCATCCATCCTATCATTTCAACTTGGACAGTATTTACATTTTTAATGGCTACTCAAAAGTTAAAGAGTAAATCCTTTGTTGAGACAAATGAAGAACAAAACAATTTCATGAAGTTATTTTCGAAAAATTCAAAACTAGGAACAGAATCTTCTCTGTTTCCCAGCTGCAACTTTAATAATTTTAGTCGCTCAATAGGAACAAACTTATGTATGCATAATATTGTCACCCGATAATATCTGTAAGAATATTATTTTGAAATAAAACAATACATTATTTAAATTTAATAGGATAAATCCTCTCTATATTAATTTTGAATTCAACATTCATTTTTAACTAATAAATTTATAAAAATTTCACAATGTTTCTTATTACTCTTTTTGGATTCATGAAGCTTAAATAAAAATACCCAACACAGAACAAAAATAATTTATCAAATTCGAATGCTAAAAAAGAAAGCAAAAGAAAAAAAGATTAAAAAATTGAAGTGGGTGAACTCATATTCTATGGGTGTAAAAGGAGTCTGTCATGCATAGAAGCATTCAGAACGAGGAATTATCTTCTAATCATCGCAACACCCACTTCATCTTTCAATCAAACAATAACAACAAAAACAAAAAACAAAAACAAAATTAACAATGGCTCAGACACGCACAAATGCTGTCATCAAATTAACATCTAATTGCTTTGATCCGTGTAAAACAAGATCAAATCAGGATCGAGAAATGTAAACTAGTCATCATTGCCTCTTACATAAATAACTACAACACAAAATTAAAATAAGAAAGAAGAAGAGACTAAAGAGAGGCGCAGAATAAGAAGGGCTCTATTGCTTCATTGGTGTAAAACCCTAATCACTGGATAGGGTTTATATAAACAAAGAGGGGAGGACGACTGAAATGACATGACTATCCTCTAGTTTTTGGGCTTTGCTCTCTTTACGGACTTGGGTTATTGTTTGGGCCTTGATTTTCAAATGACTGTTAATAGGGGGTTTATCTGAAACGGGAATATTAGGCATTCGACACATTTCAAATCAGATCAAATCTTAAGAGAGATTAATGAAGATTAACGATACAATGTTTAATTGTGATAAATAAACTATAAGAACTTCCAACTAAAATATTTACAGATTTGGGGTTGAGAATAATTTTTTTTTCAACTAAAATAATTAAATTAAATCTTAACACGGTTAATGGGATAATGTAATAATATAAACACCAATAACCCCAAAGGGTTGGCCTAGAGGTCAATAAAATTTGTTTCCTTCATTGATATTTTTTTTTGTTCGAATCACATTGAGGTCACTTACTACATTTATAACTTACCTTAGAACATTTGGTTTGTAGGATGTTCAATGGGCCTTGGAGATTAGTCGAGATTAGTTGGGGTGCGCGTAAACTGGCCTAGACACTCTGGTCATAAAAAAAAAAAAATTAATATAAGCACAAATAAAGTTTAACGATCTCTTGTGTCCTTTTAGCTAAAAGATATATAGATTGATGTATGAGCCAAAAATTGTATTGGGTCTGACGAGGTCCAATAACGAAATAAACATATTACGGCTTAGTGCCTTAACCCAATTCCGGTTGGGTCTACACTGAAATTCACCTTGTGAATTTACCACTGCATTAGTTTGGCTATCCTACAAGTTAAGCTAAATCGGGTTCCAGCTAGGGGTGTCAACCAAGCCGAGCCGTTTGTGAGTAGCTCGGCTGGGCTCAGTTCGGTAAAAAGCTCGAGCTCAACTCAGGTCATATGTGAGCCAAGTTCGAACAACCAATGCTTGGCTCGCCAAGCTTGAATCTAGGTTCAGTCAGCTCAGGTATATATGAAATTTTTACAACTATTAAGGGGCTGTTTGGATCGAGGGTAAATAAGATAACAGGGGTAATCTTTGTTTATTTTGCAAGATTCCTGTGTTTGGTTTGCAAGTAATAAAATATTACATTAATCTTTTATTGCAAATAGTATTTACTGTTAGTAAAGTAGAGAGTAATCCTATTACCTTGTTAGGGGGTGTTATTAAAATATTATCAGGATAATATGATTTTTCTACCCATTTTGCCCTGAATTAAAAACAATTTCGAATACAATTGCCCTCAAATATCTACCAAATAACAATTAGCCTAGCCCCCCACATTTGAGAAATTAGCTAAAACACCTCAGCCACAAAAAAGTTTAAAAGTTAAAAAAATACCCCTAGCCACCCAAGACTACCGTTGGTGATGACTCACCACAGCCAGCCGCTGGCGTCAGTCCCCGTAATGGTGCACGACCGATGGGATCTGGTCGATTGTGTGCCGGTAAGGCCTTTTTCTATCATGGATCATAAACCCATGGCCGGAAACAACTAGATCTGGAGTTTCTATGGCCGTTTCATGGCCAAAGATGTGGCCGTGGAATAGCTATAGATCTTGCCGTGAATAGGGATGGGCGCGAGCCGGGTTGGGGCTGGGGACCCCATGCCTCGTCCCCGTTACCCCCTCCCATGATTGTCCCCGGCCCGTCCCCGAGAGCAGGGATTTTTCTCATGACCATCCCCGGCACATGGGGACAAAATCCCTCCCATCCTCGTCCCGGCCTGGCTCGATGAACGGGGCTTAGCAGGGAATTTCTCCTCGCGGGGATTTTTGCCCGTGTAAATCAAAACTTTCTGTAACAATAATATTTAATTATTTTAATTGTGAAAAACTAGCACGTTGATTAATTGTATTCAATCTTAACATAATTTATTTGGTAAATTGTTGAATTATTCAATTGTATGGAGGCTTAGGTTTAGTTAGCCATGTTAATTAATTAATTTTTCATAAAATTAACATAACTAAATTCAATCTTAACATAATTTACTAGGTAAATTGATGAATTAATTCATAAAAACACTATCTCCACTACAACTAATAAAATTAGTCCATTTATGAAAGGGACAAATCTTATTATTTGATTAAGTTTAACATCATATTTAATTGATCAATTAATTAATTACAAGGATAATTGAATTTATGTAATTTGTAAGTTGTTAAGCAATTGTATATATTCTTATATCGGTTTGTAAATTGTAATAATCTAATTAAATTTATTTTTGGGCCATATCCCATGTATTATTATTTTGTGAAATTCACAAAGTAATAATACATATATTTAATTATTAAACTCCTTCGTTTAAATTATTTTTCTATAAATTTAATACAAACATTAGAAAATATTATAAAAATAAATATCATAAATTTAGATACATTACTTAAAATCATGATTTAAACTCTAACTTTATATACAATCTCATAAAGAGAACTAAAAAAAAAAAAAAAACATAAAATTCTCAAAAAAGTGGGGCGGGCGGGGCTCCACACGGTTTGGGGCGGGGATTGCACTATCCCCATCCCCGGATGCGGGGATTTTACTAAGGAGCATCCCTGGTCCTAGCCCCCTTTTTTTCGGGGATTCCTCGGCCCATTCGGGCCGGGTCGGGATGGATCCTCTCGAGGCCAGGGCAAACGCCCATCTCTAGCCGTGAAAAGGCCAAATATTTGGCTATGAAATGGCCATTGATCTAGC